GGAGATGGTTCCAGAAACTCCAGGTGGGCCTAACGTTACAGTTCCTCACCGAAACGTATAAGAATTCTAAACATTGACTCCCATATACCGAATATACCCATATACCAAATATACACCTTAAGGATTCTCTAAAGTGGAAAGGTTGACCTGAGCCTAAACTGAAGACAATTCGTGGGGTGCATCTCGACGTTAAGTAGCAATCACAAGGAAAACGAGGGGAAACGAAGGGAAGGTTTTTACATTGTCTGTGATTTTGATATTCTCGTTACCCATCACATGAGGAATTTTTATTTTCCCGGAAGCCTCGTTATTGCTTAAATATGAACTTTCCTGTAAAAGTCATTGAATTATTTTACCGGACTGACGTGGATTAAGGGCAATTAGAGAATTTTCAGAAAACGGTTGCAAAAATATCGGACCAAGAATTATCTTTTTCTTTTTTAAAAAAAGAAAAAAGAATACCTCATCGGGTTTTTGATTGTCAGGAAAGTCTCGGAATTCTTCCTATTGGCCTGTTTCTGTGAAATCTCCAACGGTATGGGTTTCCCATGGCTCATCATGTTTCTTGGTATTCTTGAAAGTAACCAGTCGTCATATCTGGTGTTCCCGGTGAATTTTCTCGCATGGTGAAAAATCCTGCTTCCCATCTTCTTACATCCCCTTTCATTTTCTGAAACGAAGTGCTCCTGCGATGGTGCAGAGATTCCGCAACGGAATGATCTTGTCAATTTGGAAATATCAACTTTCTTTGTTTCTTCGGATTCCTCCGCCTGCAGAGAAAGGACGGCCTACCTTTGCCTGCAGCGACATGACGACGTTCCAATAATTGTCGCTGCCTTCAAGTCAGGCTTTTGGCAATTAGAGAGACACGTATGTGAGTTACGCGGAACCTACTGCAATCCAATGAATGGAAAAGCTTCATCGTATCGTTGCCGTTCGAAGGACCGTTGCTTGTTGGCATGCAACCTCGAAAATATTTCAGTTCGCAGCAGAATATTCGCGAAAATTTTGGGTCTGGCATGTAAAATGAAGAATCCAACAATTATGCTGTCGGTCAGCGGTTCCCAAACTGCGGTAAGCTAGGCGATACCAAAATTGGTACCGAATAGGCTTCCAATGAGACCTATTTCAAAATTTTCGCCATCGAGTACTAGATTAATCAACTTCGTCTCCGATTTCGCTACAATGTGCATTGTTTCCCTTCGAACGATCTCAGTACCTGAAGGTCACATCAAGTACCAAAGAGAATGGTGCTGCTTTTGCAGCTTTCGAGTATTCACTTGAGCCGTTTGACTGCCTTCCAATATCATCCAAGAAACCTGAATCCAAAAGAAGTGGGAAAAATATGCAGATGGGACTGTCCCCTTTACTGGCGAAGATGGAACAATAACAGACGCGCCTTCGTTTTCAAAGTTGAGTTGTTTTTTTTAAACATCGTTGATTCGTAGTCGTAAAGGCTCATGACAAGGAATTTTCACATTCTGTCTTTTTCATAATGCACTTAAATAACTTTCTGCCTCTTATAGGATATACCAGTCCATGTCACTTGAGATTTTTTGCTCTTTCTTGATGAAATATTGCGGTGATCTTATGATAAAAAATCCAGTCCTTCATGCGAATATTTTTATTTACACGCGCCTGGAAAAAGCCAGCTTTTCTCCCAACTGTCCCTTTACAATTCCTGGCATGGTTTATGAAAAGCTGTCTAACGGGTATGAGTTGCGAATAAAATTGAGACATTTTGAGGAATGAACTCGCTTTAGTACGAAACGTTTTGAATTGACACATTGGGGAAGGGACCGAACAACGTATAATGTGTCACATTTCTCTATGGAAAATATCAGCCTAGAACGTTTAATCAAAATCAGTCTCGATCGCATGTGGGCTCGGTGAGGAGTTAGCGATGTCCATTCATGAATACAATCATCGAGCGAAATAACCTCTGGTACAACATTCTGTGCGTTACTCAGGCTTTGAATGAATGCTAGATTGCCATTGAGAATGCGAGATTTTTTCTCAGCACTCCAGGTTTAAAATGCTAGCATGAGACGGCTTCGTTCGCCGACTCGTGTCATATTAACCAAACATGGAATTTAAGCATGATTCAGACGACGAACCATCTTCTTCCCAAGGGCTTCAAGGCGTTTAAGCACCAGAAGGCTTCTCTAACATCAAACCAAGCGTGGCAATCACGTTTTACCATTCCTCCCCCCGTCATGATTCATATTTCCCTGGAGGAAAAATGAATTCTGAAAAAATATCCTGCAGGTTCAGGCGTTCCCATCGAATCCGACGAATTTCCTTATCTACCTTCGCATATGTACGCATCCCGATCGTCTCGAAGCACTTGTCCATGACAACCCCGATTAAGATTTATAGTGGAAACGGCACGTATCAAGAATGTGGGTGTGGTAATCAGCTCGGAATAGTTCTCTCCGTGTAAAAGATGTGTGCAGGGATCCATTTCACAACAGGAAAGATTGTCAGCCTGTGTGAAGGCCAAAGACGCCCGCAGTCCTAAGCTTTTGCGGATCGAAATCAATATTTCGCATACTTAAATTAAAACGTTCCCGAAGATCTTCGAGGATGCAGTCAAGGCAGCTGTGAATGATGACTTCTTACTTCTTCCAAAATAAAGTCCAACCAATTTCTTAGGATATAAAATAGTGTTATTACGTGCATCGCTCAAAGTGTTGGTCCTTCCTGGTGGAATCTCACTTTTGATGGCCTTCCTCTCCAAATTCAAATATGAGAAAGCAAACTCGTATTCATCATAATGCTACCCAGAGCACCATTTATTACATGCTGTGGACCATGCAACATTCGAATGATCATTGAAGGTTTAAAATTGAGATTTTCAATGCTGCGTTTTTGGGGCTTCTTTTTCATCCGTCATTGCCTTGTATGATAATTGCTTCTGTGTATGTTAATCGAAAGAAACTGAAGAAAATAATGCATGATGAGTTCAATGGAGGAGTCCCATCTGTGCCCTGTCGTCTGTCTTCAGAAAACGTCGGTCCATACCCACTGCGACAAAAGCAAGGCACGTTTTGTTTGCAGTTCGAATGAGCTTCTGAATTTCTGACACCGCTGAAAATATTTGAACTGTAAGTATACCGTGCTAAAGTTTAGTCATTCCTCTTTCAACTGCCGCAAACCGCATTAAAACGAATGCATTGAGTATCGCGTAACGTAAAAACATCCCTTTTTTTTGGCCCACCCCGTATAGTCGATGAAATCAGTGGGTTGGCCCTAAAAGTGCCGCGTGACTCTAAAAGGGTTAACCCATCGCGCACAGATTTCCTAGTGTTTAAAATGTGTGTTTCGTAGCGAAGGCATTCGGATGAAAGAACGTGACCACCTGGCACGTGCGAGGTTCCTCGCTCGTATTTCCTAACTTCATGAGTCACGGCCATGAGAACCACGGGATGCACGGGATTTTTTTCGATCGCAATTGGGACGCTTGCAGCTGACGACCGTGATAGCATGCGAGCGTCCCAAGGATGTTCCTCAGAGACCTTCAACTCCTCCACGTCCCACAGCGGACGTCCCATGGACACGCATTTGCCACGTAGGACGTCAGCATTCCCTATCTAAAAACGATCAGTTTATGAATATATACGCAATACGAGAATACGTTTATTTACTCATCTGGCAAATTTTTCGGAAAAAAGCGTTTTAAAAGGAAAATTTCATCTTCACCCTCATAGTGCCAGAGTCGATTACAGCGACGCTACGAATTTCATTGAAAAAGGCCAGTATCGAAGAGTTAACGAATATGGGGTTAGGAAATGTTTCTCGTCCGAGCGTTCGATCGCTTTTCAAATTTCGGACATTTTATTGCCAGCTCTTCGACTCTGGCATTTTGAAGCGATATTTGTCGCGTCGCTGTAATCGACTCTGGCACCATCAGGGTTAATGTGCAATGTCTTCCGGATGTCCCCGATATATCCTCATGCGTCATCTGTCCGACGTGGAACATACGGTATATATGGGAAGTCTCAGGGATGTCCTGTTGCACATTGGAATTATTGTTATTGATATCGATGGGATATTCATGGAGTACATAAATAAATTGATTTGCAGAGCGCAATGAATGCCATTTTCACTTTTCGCGATGCATACTTTTGCTATGAAATTGTCGTTCATTTAGGATTAGCACGCAGGCTCGATTCCCGTCCTCAACGATCGCCCGATATCGAGCTTGAGGTACGATATGTGTCAGAATCAGAACTACTTTCGAATCGTAGCCTCGGTATTTGTTTTGGAAGTACGAGAGATATTTATAGATTTTACTTTATTTATGATTTCCTGGGACGAGGTGAGATTGGAACAGCTGTGGCATATTGATGTGGTGGGATTTGGACATCCCTTGATTGGACATCCTTTGCATGGACATCCCTTGCATGGACATCCTTTGCATGGACATCCCTTGCATGGACATCCCTTGCATGGACATCCCTTGCATGGACATCCCTCCTAATGATGGCGTTCCACGCGCTCTTCAATTTTGGAGGCAGTCCGTTCACAGACTGTCGAGTCAGAGATGGTTCCAGAAACTCCATGTGGGCCTAACATTACAGTTCCTCACCGAAACGTATAAGAATTCAAAACATTGACTCCCATTTACCAGATATACACCTTAAGGATTCTCTAAAGTGGAAAGGTTGACCTGAGCCTAAACTGAAGACAATTCGTGGTGTCTACCTCGACGTTAAGTGGCACTCACAAGGAAAACGAGGGGAAACGAAGGGAAGGTTTTTACATTGTCTATGATTTTGATATTCTCGTCACCCATTACATGAGGAATTTTAATTTTCCCGGAAGCCTCGTTATTCCTTAAATATGAACTTTCCTGTAAAAGTCATTGAATTATTTTACCGGACTGACGTGGATTAAGGGCAATTAGAGAATTTTCAGTAAACGGTTGCAAAAATATCGGACCAAGAATTATCTTTTTTTTAATAAAAAAAAGACCTTATCGCGTTTTTTATTTTCAGGAAAGTCTCGGAATTCTTCCTATTGGCCTGTTTCTGCGAAATCTCCAACGGTATGGGTTTCCCATGGCTCATCATGTTTCTTGGTATTCTCGAAAGTAACCAGTCGTCATATCTGGTGTTCCCGGTGAATTTTCTCGCATGGTGCATAATCCTGCTTCCCATGTTTTTACATCCCCTTTCATTTTCTGAATGGAAGTGCTCCTGCGATGGTGCAGAGATTCCGCAACGGATTGATCTTGTCAATTTGGAAATATCAGCTTTCTTTGTTTCTTCGGATTCCTCCGCCTGCAGAGAAAGGACGGCCTACCTTTGCCTGAATCGACATGACGACGTTGCTCCGTCGACAATGTTGCAATGATTGTCGCTGCCTTCAAGTCAGGCTTTTGGCAATTAGAGAGACACGTATGTGAGTTACGCGGAACCTACTGCAATGCAATGAATGGAAAAGCTTCATTGCATCGTTGCCGTTCGAAGGACTGTTGATTGTTGTCATCGAAAATATTTCAGTTTGCAGCAAAATATTCACGAAAATTTGGGTCTGCCATGTAAAATTAAGAATCCAACAATTATGCTGTCGGTCAGCGGTTCCCAAACCGCGGTACGCTAGGCGATACCAAAAGTGGTACCGAATTCCAATCGGACCTATTTCAAAATTTTCGCTATTGAGTACTAGATTCATCAACTTCGTCTCCGATTTCGCTATAATGTGCATTGTTTCCCTTCGAACGATCTCAGTACCTGAAGGACACATCACGTACCAAAGAGAATGGTGCTGCTTTTGCAGCTTTTGAGTATTCACTTGAGCCGTTTGATAGCCTTCCAATATCATCCAAGAAACCTGAACCCAAAAGAAGGGGGAAAAATATGCAGATGGGACTGCCCCCTTTACTAGCGAAGATGCCCTATGGTGGAACAATAACAGACATGCCTTAGTTTTAAAAGTTGAGTTTTTTTTTTAAACATCGTTGATTCGTAGTCGTAAAGGCTCATGACGAGGAATTTTCAAATCTGTCTTTTTCACATTGCACTTAAAGAACTTTCTGCCTCGTATAGGATATACCAGTCCATATCGCTTGAGATTTTTTGCGCCTTCTTGATGAAATATTGCGATGGAAGATCTCATGATAAAAAATCCAGTCCTACATGCGAATATTTTTTATCGACACGCGCCTGGAAAAAGCCAGCTTTTCTTCCAACGGTCCCTTTACAATTCCTGGCATGGTTTATGAAAAGCTGTCTAACGTGTATGAGTTGCGAATAAAATTGTTTGAGAGATTTTTTGAGGAATGAACTCCCTTTAGTACGAAACGTTTTGAACTGACACATTGGGGAAGGGACCCAACAACGTATAATGTGTCACATTTCTCAATGGAAAAAATCGGCCTAGAACGTTTAATCAAAATCAGTCTCGATCGCATGTGGGCTCGGTGAGGAGTTAGCGATGTCCGTTCATGAATAGAATCATCGAGCGAAATAACCTCTGGTACAACATTCTGTGCGTTAATCAGGCTTTGAATGAATGCTAGATTTCCATTGAGAATGCGAGATTTTTTCTCAGCACTCCAGGTTTAAAATGCTAGCATGAGACGGCTTCGTTCGCCGACTCGTGTCATATTAACCAAACATGGAATTTAAGCATGATTCAGACGACGGACCATCTTCTTCCCAAGGGCTTCGAGGCGTTTAAGCACCAGAAGGCTTCTCTAACTTCAAACAGAGTGTGGCAATCACGTTTTACCATTTCTCCCCCCGTCATGATTCATATTTCCCTGGAGGAAAAATGAATTCTGAAAAAATATCCTGCAGGTGCCTGCGTTCCCATCCACTCCGACGAATTTCCTTATCTACCTTCGCATATGCATGCATCCCGACGCCTATAAAACCAGCAAGAAGAGCGACTACAGCCTCAGTGCGGCCTTCGAAGCTCTTCAGCCTCCATCGTCCTCAGCGTCTTCGTCGGACGAATTTGGATCGTCAATGAGAATCATGCAGACAGTGAGTAAATGTTTCGCATCGATTCCTGCTGCAAATCGTGACGACCGCTTGTAAAGCATTTCGATTTTCGAAATGCTTCTGGAACATACGTATTTGCTCACTTTGCTGTATTTGTGATAGGGATAGATTTCTGTATTGACGATACCTTTCCACTTAGAAAGCTGAGATCCATGTTCTAGGTTACACGAATCGGTCGTTCACTATGGACCTCGTAATGATCCAGCGTGTTTCCAAGTGGTCAAAACCCTTTGGTATATTTTGGCGAACCCATTGCGCTGTAATTCACGCTTGGACCAACTCGAAGAACGATTTTCGCTAGCCTGGTGTGCCCCAGAATCCGTTAGATGAGGCCAGTTCCCTGACATAATTGCAATTCATCATCGAAATTTAAAAAAAGGTTCAAATGGGAATGCAGAGAATCTACAAGGTCTCGTCAATCAATTAACGTCAATCGCATCACAATCAACCTACCCCGAGCACACTTTTCAGCAGATTTGATAGGCGGAGTGTCCCGTCAATGTCCCTATGCGAACAATCGGCGTAACCTGAATCTCATTTTCTTTTATTATATCATGGAGATAGTCGAATTGCAATATGTGTACAAGTTACGCAGAGATATATTCACGTACCAATCACCACGACAATTGCAGAAAATATGTAGTCGGGAACATTTTAGTTCAAAGTGGCACCAGATGGGACTCTCGTGAATATGCAGCTCAAAAACGGTTCACATGTCGCCGGTAGGATGTCAGAGGATCGAATGGATCTGTGGCCAGGCCGTGTGGATGGACCCAACTTTTACAGAGTGGGCAAAATTATAGTTAGAATGATGTCTGACGTTGATTTCATTTGTTGTTAAGCTGGTCCACGAAAGTGTGCTATGCATGTGAATGCTGTATTATTCGTAGCGAGTTTGTCCCTCGGGAAAAGAAACTCGCAATGATCTCACCTCCGCCGCTCGACGGTAAAATAAAAAAGTTAATTCTTCTTAATTGTGTGCCTTTGTCCCTCGCATCTTCACCTTGGGATCGCACCGTAACCTAAATATGAAATTTAAAAAAGACCCACATTGAGTGGATGGGATCGTGATAGGTCGAGGGATACGACAAAAGCCTCATCATCGCGGCATTTCGGGCAATTTCCTTTCATGACTAAAATCTGGCTGCCATATTTGATCCCCGTAGATTCCCCTGCATTTGCAGAACTTAGATAACTCACTGCTTTCAGTTAACTTTGTTTCTCTAACCCTCCCTCTATCGCAAGCCCCCCCCCCTTTTTTTTACTTAGCTGCTGTCATGCCTTGAGGTGATCCGATCTTTCAACTTTTTCTTGTCACTTCTTCAGATGCATCTTCACGGAATCGCGATGGGAATCGCCATGATCCTGCTTCCCGCCACTCAATCTCAGCGCCTCACGCCCACAAATTGCCGAACTTTGGAAGAAAGCGTCGGACTTGTGTCTTGCGAAGCGGACGAGGTGGATTTCTCTCTCTCTCTCTCTCTCCCTCTCCTCATCTTCTCACCAACAGCGGGATTTCTCTTAGACAGAAAATAAGGGTCTCCGAACGACCTCGTCCTGGTCATTCTCGCTTCAAATTCAACGATGACTGAAAATGAAGCATTTGCATCGGTTGAAATGAAAGTTGACCGATCTAATAGGTTCCGAAATCAGTAAAGAAACGCTTCACGCGTTACTGAAGTTAACACATTCACGCGCATCAAGAGTCTACACAACTAGAAAAGGTATTTTAAAAAAAGTAGTCCTTTCCCTCGGTTCCACTGCTTCAGCTCCTGCTACTACTGCCGATAGCGTTCTACGCGTTGAAGCATACTTCTCGGATTTCCGTTCGGTAGCAGTCGTAGGAAGTGTCACTTGCGGTCACCCGATCGATCCTCCTCGACAGATGATGTTCTCCACCTGCGGAGCGGGCGGCGAACCGGGATCCTGCGGCACGTCCGCCATCAAAATCGAATGCTGCGGCTTGGGGGATGGCATCCTCACGTCCGACGGCTGCGAGGAGGAGTACGGCGACGGCGGGTCCATGGTGGCCTGCACCGACACGGACAAGTTCATGCAAGGCGCGTGCAGCTCCTTCATCACTCCCGCCTGCTTCGACGAAAACAACATCGCCCACACGCATTCGATCAAGTGTTGCGACTATCATCTGGATGGCAAGAGGCTCTATCCAGAGGAGTCCGAGGACTACGGATCCGACCCCGGACACGAAGTCGAGTAAGAGTCGGTCGAAGCCTTACCTGTACATTCCAAATATATTCCTCTCGTATTCTCGTTCCCTTACTGAAAGAGAACGAAATATGCGCTTGAAATGCCCTCGATGAAATCGGTGATGTTCCCTCCCACAAGTGTTTTAATGTTACTTCAAGAAAATCATCAGGTCGAGACTGGAATTCGTTCTTCTGTGGTAGCATTATAAATGTATTTTCGCTTCAGTATGACAGAAATAAGGAGCAATCTCTCTAGAAACCAGTCGTCCGATCTGCAATATCACTGTGAAAATAATGGGAAACGTTTCTAAGGAATACACGAGAGCAAAACTCCCAGTCTACACCCAGCAATAACAGAAGTTCACGTTTTGCATTTTTAAAGCAGGATGGGTGACGGCTTTCCGCGTAATTTCATAAAAATTGGGAGTGGCATGCGATTGTTTACCGCTCGCTGATTGCCACATACCTAATACCTTACGCGGAAATGGCATCAGAAGCATGATGATATGGATGATTTAAAAATTGAGACTCCTGCACTTTCCCCTTCGCAGATGTCCGCCTAACTCGGCAGCCGTGGGTCGCTGTGCGGTCCTCAACTCTCCCGATTGTGCCGGGAGTTACGTGCAGCTCAAGTGTGCGTTCGCCGCCGTTTGTCTCTGCTAGCGACGACCCGATGAGAGACACGAAGCCGGTTGTAATAAAGATGTTTTCGTAGCGATGGCCTTCCGATTTTTCCAAACTCGAGTCCGTTCACGAGCGGGTCGGTTTTAGGGATTCTGCGACGAGTGACGAGGACCCCAACCGGTGGGGAGGGGGTGGGGCGACGGGACCGGTTGGAAACATCTTCCATCGATCTGAGAACGTTCTACGATTCGCGTCCGAATCCGTCGACCGGCCGCGCGGCACGCCGATGTTTCAGGGCACGACTTTCCTTCCGCGCCGTGTCGAAGAATGCGATGCCACGCGCACGCCAAACGGATATCGCACGAAAAAGCGACGAAAATGTCACGTCTGCTTCGTTCTTAGGGCTTAAAAAACGTTTGCTGCATCCGCCGTTTTATCCGATCGGCCTCTGGTCGTCAAAAGACGTATACGTTGTTTCCGACTCAATTTGGCCTTCGACTTCCAAACGCGTACGATAGTTGGAATCCTCTCACACCACGTATCGACCGTCATGTGAGATTTGACAGACGCGGTCGGCCATTGTCGACCGTGACTGCTACGTCCCTCTTCATTCGTATTTGTGAATGCTGACAGCGGCGAACCCCATTTGGCATCAAAATCTCCAGCCGTTCCCGTCGCATTAACGGCTCCTCAATCTTATTCTCTTTGTCCCATTGCCTTACACTGCATATCGGTCTCTAAAGGAATTTGCGGTAATTTTGCATCCCGTCATCTGGGGACGCATTCAATTATGCGCGTTTGAAATTGGCGTTTCTACTATATTCGTCAAATGGCCATCTAGGGGTAACTTTTACGAAGAATGAAGGCTTAACCATGCGTCGGAGGTGACTGGGACCACAACGGTTGCTTTTCAGATGTTTAACCCTAGACGGCTGATAATTACCCTATTATAATAGGGTTGAATACAACATATGATAATTCCTCCCCTATTACCAGAACTCTTTCCCAGTAAGGAATTTTTTTTTTACACAAATGGGTAAGGGTAAAAATTGTAATTTTTCCTTAAAAGCAAATTATATTTTTTAAAATTCGTTTTCGGTTCAATGAATTATCATCAATGAAGCCACATCCAAGTTATAAATAATTCAAACCGGAGGTTAAATATATAGCGATCCTGACCGCTAGCTAGGTCGAGCGACAATTGAGTGTTTGCATGTGTGACACAGGCCAATTGCTTTCAGATGTGAACAGAATTCTTCCTTTTCGCCCGCGGATGTGTCTTTACGAAATAAAATTGGCAAATCGGCCTCACGAAAGGGAGGGGAGGCGATATTCACGGAAAACAGCAGCTTCGCTCTCGTTCCGCCATCTTTCGGATGGGCGAGGAGACGAGAGTTGCCGTGGTACTCGAAAGGGAACGCTGGCATCGCTGGCCGTAGTGTCTCCCGCCTGCTGACGGGATTCCAGCACTGAGATAAGAAATAGAACTGGAGATGGTGCATGGCACACGATACAATGGATTTGGGGCAATTGGATGCCATCTTAGTTGGGTCCGTGGTGGCTCTTCTCCATTCACTACAATGAGATTTTCATAATTTCCCATCCCAGTTTTCTTGGTGCCGTGATCATGGTGGCAGGCAGTCATGACACTGGAGGCCTAATAATTCTGGCAGAGTATCATAGGACTGATAACGTCATGTCGGAACTCTTCTTTCGTGTGGGCGAGTCTCCTATTTCTCGAATGGGCCTCCAAGTTCCAGGTCTGCCTTTGCCGAGATTGCTAGGCCTACGAAGGCGATAACGTTACGCCGCCCTTGCATCATCACAGTCGACATATTTTACAGCAAGTTAAAGGCATAAAATCAAACGAACTTCGAGTGAACGTTCAAAGGTAAACATCGGCTAAAGGAAACTGTGGGCGACCACGAGGTACATGGTAGAGGTGTTGGCCCCGCTTTAGCCTAGACTCAGTGGATTCCAGGGATTTCGAACGTCCGTGATGAAAGTACGGAGCGATTCGTCAGTTCGTCGCCGCTTGCGTTCGCACGGGCTCCACAAAGAAGTTCAACGCCGCAGTTTCCCCGCGGGGGTCCGTCTCTCGAATTGCAGAATTTCATAATTGCAAAATCGTTTGCAGCAGCAATTCTTTATCTGTCCAACGAATCGTTCGGAACGGTGGCCACAATGGTCTCATTCTAACGCGTTGACCGCCACGAGGCGGACCGGTGCGGCTCACCGAATGGGAATATCAATATGTCAGCTTCGCCCTGGCGGTCAACGTGTTAATCGACGATTTGACAGGGAGATGCTTTGCGGACAACCGGCAACACTCGGCGAATGTCACCACTCGGCACAGCTAATTTCCCACCGAATCGGGCATCGTCCATCGAGTCTCGCAACGCGCGTTCCATCGTTGTCAGCGCATCGGTGGGAGCCATCGGCGCTCCATATCAAATGATGACGTCGAAAGCTTGAATCGTCGCATGAAATTTGCACGATGAACGACACATTGTATGCGTGAGCAGATCCAACGGCAAGTCGAAGGCTGTGCGACGCGCCATCCCACCAGGCAGCAAAATTGCAGAAACACCGGTCGGCAGCAACGCTCAAAACATTGTCCTCTTCCATGCAGGATGTGAATTCGTGTGGTGTACTTATTTTTTTTGCCAGTGGCACCTGCTCTACCGATAATATACAACGACGCACTCCCTGTTCCGAATTTTAACGTGCCGCTGCATTTGAACCATTTCATCCGCATCGTAAACGTTGAGTGGAGCATACGTTAGTTCCTGATTTTCATTTAGCGGAGGAACGACGTTATGAAATGGATGTAGACGGGTCGTAGTCAAAAGATAGGCTTCGCCGGATGTTTCGAAGCAGTAAGGACCGTTACCGGTAATGTCAACAATCGTTGCACCAAAAGGAAGTAAACGCGTTTGCGCTGTTATACTGCCTGATGAACTCGCGGAAATTGAGAGCGTTTTCACTTTCCCCATCGACATCGTTTTCAACTCTGGCGGAAACTCCAATGGACTTGTCACGATCATGTCACGGTGGTCTATTCGACAACCTTGCGATGGTTGCTGCTTTCAATCTACAACCCCATCTAGAAGTCGCGATTTTTTTCCTTGCTTTACGGGCACCATGCTGCATTGGAGTGCCAAGGTGCCACGATGAATGATCGGCGAAATGAGCATCGACAAGTGACATCGGCGCCTTCAGTGTTGAATTGCCGTTTAGGTTCTGGGATTTTACTGAATTACTTTTCTTCGCCTCTGTTGACACGATTCACACGATCTGGTGCCAAGGATAATCACGGGTGAAGTGAGACCTGCAAACTGTATACATATGGCAGTGCTCAAGTGGCACATGAACGCTCGCGAGAACGTTCAATCGAATGCTTAATAGAACGTTCCCAAGAACGTTCACGAAACGCTGACAATATCTTAAATGAAATGATGATTGAACACGTTTGGGTGCGACTGTGATAGTCTTCTCTGAGGGTCATGATGACTCCTTCCACGACACGGAAATATTGGTATACCTGGACAACTTTGCAGTTTCTATCCAAGGTTAGCACATGCGACACCATTATAACCTGCCCCTTATTTTCTCTTTTTCTGATTTTTTCCCCCTACTAATCCGTCCACTGCTTCTTGGTCTTTCCATTTATATTTAGTCTAGTGCACTCACACGTTCATCGATTGGGGGAAAACTCTCAGCACGCACTATATTTCACATATATTCTCCGCTCATGATTCTTTCTCTTCCAGTTGGCTGTTCCGGAAACTTTAGTATATTACAATGCGTCAAAAAGCAAGAAGTGAAAGCAAGATGGGTATCCTATCTCCCTAACCGCTCCCTTGGCCTCTGTCACACGTACAGCTTTCACGAATCAGTAGGTGGGTCTCCACGATTGCATGATATATTCACAGAGCAATAAGGACGCACCAGACTGCATGAAAAAAAAACTGTGGCACGAAACATTTTCTTACATCCAACTATCTGATTCACGTGACTTCCTTGACGTAACCAACGATATGGGGCAAGGTGAAATATATTTATGCGCGATATTTTGCGCAAATTTACCCAATCGAACGATTGGAATCGGTAGTCAATGTGAATGCAATTCAAAGATTTATTCATAATGCCTAATAAGAGTCCCAAGAGAAAAATAGCAAAGATAATGTAATGATGCATGGGTTGAATGAATAGGCATTTCACCCTTTGACTTGGTCTCCCACTGTGACAGTCAAAGCTGTTGAATACAACTTATTTTCAATCATCAATTGCGCAATCGGAAGATCAATGACTAAGTGATCCAGAATGAAACAAGTTGTGGATTGCGCGTGAAAGTAATCTGAAATTAACTTAATTGCTCCTTACTGATGGCAGATCGCAGGTGCTTCCCGGCGTAACATCTAACCTGGTTATTTGGAACCTCAGCCTCGCTGTTTGATCTGGGGATTCATCTGGGTACGCGTCACTTACCATACTCCTTTAGTCGAAGGCCAAGGGAACTCTTTTTTTTTCTGTACATACGTATATGACCGAAATGAAATTGCTATATTCTTATGCTCAAATAGATACAGTAGCATTACCATTCGGTTCCCGCCTCGGGTTCCTAATTTTCCAGTCCCAAGTCAGGAGTTGCAGACTATTTGTTTACTAGGTAGCATTGCCAAGCAAAGCGTGCCAAACTTGCTCCTACAGCTCCTGCCAAATGCCGCCCACCAGATGCAGCGCAAATGAATGCGCCAATAGCCCCTAAAGTGGGAAAGCCAGCAAATGCGCCGGACAGAAATGTGCCTACTGCCCCGACTTGAGTCCATCCGGCAGCTGCAACCACGACAGATGCGCCCTGGCCTAGTCCTAAGCAGATTGCACCCGTCGCAGGCAAACCCTTCATCCATGCGGAAAATGTGAGTATAAGTCCTAGGATGCCTGCAAAGGGGTATGCAAATTTAGCGAGTTGTTTCCTGATAGCTTCTTCGCGCTCCTTCTTTGCAACTTCAAGTTTGAAAATTTCGCTCTTCAACTTTTCCATCTTCGTGAGGCCTGCCTTTATATTTCTCACCTCCAAGGCTTGAAAAT